TTTTACCCCTCTCGTAAAAGGTTTTGGAGCATAGATCAGGCGTTAATGGCATTTTGATTGTTTGTATTAGTGGGCTCAAGGTTGTGCCTGTCTATTAGTGGGGCTGCTGGCAAAGGTTAGGGGTTAGGGGTTTACGGCTTAGCCATGATATCTCCAGCTGCAAGCAGTCCCCTCCGCGATTAGTTGTAATTGAGACTTTTTTTTCGGCATGTTTTCTGTGCATTTCCTCAAAAGGAAGCCGTCGACCAAATTATATTTTCAACAGCGATCGATCAAATGCAACCAAAACGAACAAATACAGATGCAGGCACCGTTATGAATGCAGAGTATCGGATGTCAACTGCGGCATTCGCACAGACAGACAAATCGAACGAAGGAGGGAGGGGGGAGAAACGAAGGCAGACAGACAGAGAGACGAACAGAGAGACAGGCAGACAAACAAACGAAAAATAGAAGGGGGAGCACCATATGCGTGCGTGTGTCTATAATGCTGTCTGCTGTCTTCTGTCTTCTGTCTCCCACCCTCCATCCTCATACTCCGTGTGCTGGGGGAAAAACTCAAACATAAAACTACCGTTTGATGGATCGTTTTGATTAAAAATGCAACACATTTCTATATGATCTGTCACAGACATCGAAGGAATCGGAATCCGAGTCGCAAAAGCCGCAAAAGTGGTCGCCGTCGCTGCTGCAGCGTAAAGCGCAGAGAGCGCAAGCAGCGAAGCGCAGGGGGAGTAGCGCAGAGAGCGGAAAGAGGAGAGCGCAGCGAGTGGAGTGGGGAGCATAGTGCTCACAGCGAGGAGTGGGGAGCGCAGAGCACAAAAAGAGGAGCACAAAGAGAGGCGGAGTGAGTAGGGCGGTCGAGTGAGAGACAAGCGAAATGTTTGTTAAAGTGAAATTAACGTCGCCATCTAACAGGCTACCAATCAACAAAGCCAGCGCACTGTGTGCCTGGAAAACTGAACTGCAAGCTGAACCGAGCCACCACGCATGCGCCACAGCGATCATCATCTTGTCGCTGTCTTTGGCTGCGGCTGCGGCTGCGGCTGCGGCTGCGGCTGTGACTCTGTTTTGTGGCAGACAGGCAGCAGCCTTTCCAGTGGCATGCAGTTGTCGCCAGTTGCACATTTTCCGCGTGCTCTGAGCGCTGCCACGACAAGGAAAAGTAAAGCCAAAGCAAACTGGAGGCAAACTGGAAACTTAGTAAAGAAAATTGTATAAATATCCAGGATGATGTAGGGTTCGCAATGCGTTACCAACAGCTGCTTGAAGTCTTAGAAACCTCTGTTAGGGTATTATACTCATAACAGACCACGCCCCAGCCTATGCTGAATGCACTTAAAGACTTCCAGTACCCATGCCCCCGCTCCCTTCCCTAACTGTTGTGCGTTTTGGGTTTCCGAATGAATGAAATTCGATCGTTTTATTAACTGTACATTTGGCATGATTTACTGCTATAATACACCCCTATGCCAGGCATTTCTATATTTTTGTTTTTTTAATTTTCTACTGCACTTTCTGTCGTTTTGCTGTGTCCATTAACCTTCATTAGGCTTAGCGTGGCTTAGCGTGCGTTAATAACGCACCAAATTGTGAAGCGTTCAGAGCACTCCTCACTCCCCCTACCCTCTCCTCGAGCTGTCATTGTCCATTTATGGCCTGGGCTGCATTGACAATTTCTATCAACGATTGCACACGAATTAAAGTTTATTTATTTATTTATTTGCTTCTCTTAATGAACTGTGTGAAACAGTTTTCGATTGCCGGGACAGGCACACCTCACACCACCCACCCAACCATCGAACCAAAGCTGCCACGCAACTTGTCCGAGTATCGGCTTTTTGGTCTTTTGCTTCTTTGTGTGTGTGCACTGTGCAGCGCAAATTGTTATTGCACAATTTTTCGTTGGCTTTTTTTTGTTGTCTGTCGTTGTCTGTCGATTTTCAATTTTCGGGCTGGTGTATGGTTGGGGGGGGGGGGGGGGGAAAAGGAAAGGGCCGGGGGGGCGGGGGGGGGGGGGGGAAAAAAAAAAAAAGAAAAAAGGCCCTAGTTTTGCCTTTTCTGGTTTTGCTACANCGCACATAACACTTTGTTTTTGCTAATTTTCTAACGCTTGTTGTGCGCTTGCGAAAATGCATTTTTAACCAGTTTTAGCAATGAGGAGACAATGGTCTGTGGAGCTACAAATGCTGCGAAAGTCAGGTCTAAGGTTGTGTCTTGGTTTTGTTTATATTTGATAACAAAAAAAGTCTAAAACAAATGTTAAAACTGCCAAGAAGATTCCAACTTTTCGCACGTGACTGCTGTTCCTTTATGGGAGCATCATCATCATCATCATCATTATCCTCCAGTGACTCACTTTTTGACACAGTTGCACTCAAAGTTTGTTGCCCTTTGTTTTGACTAATGCTTTTGCTCGTCTCAGCAGTGACACCAGAACCGTTATAATGCCATAGCCCGACACTGGCCATTATCTAACTAAGGCATCAATCCAGCAGCAGAGAGTCAGAGAATAAGTCTGCAATTGGCCGCAGAGCAATTACCGAAGAGAGTGGGGAAAAATGAGAGCAGTCTTAGAACATGTTTTCAGCGTTAGATCGGAAGAGATTCCAGGCTGCATGATTATGCAATTTACTAGATGTAAGAGAGAAGCAGCACAACATTTGTGCAGACCCAAATTGAAAGCGAAATAATCATGGAAATACGCGTAACTGGGTTAATAATTTTGTAACGCTTCCATGCGTGTTCAATGATCCATTCAGCCCCACGGAGGCGCAGGCGGAGGCCTATGAACCCCTCGCAGAGTTCTTTGGCTTCTATTTTAGAGTGGAGTGGAGCTTTTCTCTTGATAAATATGCAAATGAAACTGAAATTCAATTAACGCTGTCATATCAAAGAGAGGGCCAAGATAGAACCCGGCAGATATGTGGATCTAGTCTGGCGCAGGGCCGTCAAGTTCAAAGTTATAAATGTGCCACAGAGCGTGCGGAGTTTATTTAATTTCGATTCAGTTTGGAGTTCGTTTCGTGTTTCGTGTTTCGTGGCCAGCATACGAGAGATTGCTACACAAATCGGTTTTTTTTCTGTTTGAAAGTCTTCGAGTCTCGGGGGGGTGGTGACCGGAGAACGATTCTGTCATTGAGTTGGCCTGGGGATCAATTACCTTTCGAAACCAATTTGCATTTGAAATGCATAACGAAATCGTGTGCACACAATATTTTGGCAGTCGGTTTGCCATGCTGAGAGTTGTTGGCCGTGTTGGCTGTTCATTGTTTGCCAGCTGATTGGCAGGCTTTCAAAAAGGTTTTCGTATCAAATGGAAAAATGCAGGTGGCTGTGGCTCCAGCTCCCACACAGTCATAGAGTCAGACATGCAGTCTGCCATTCAGGCAGGTCTTATCTCCCTTTTGGCAGTTGCTCATTATTGTTGCCTGTTGGCGGCAAAAGGTGTGTCAGCAGTTGCAACTACTGCCGTTTGCTGCTGCGGCTGCTGCGGCTGAGGCAACTACAAGGCGATCCAACTCGAAGATCACGTGGTCTCTGATCAATGAGCTCCAGGCACGCAAGGCACTTCACTTCATGGGAGCTCTGGGCTGTGGGTCCAAGTGGAGTTCATCTTTTGGCTATGGCCACAAAATATGGGTTAATGCGCCCCAAAGGAGTTTTTGTCTTATTTTCATTGTTGATTGAGTCTGCCCATTTCTTTACTCTTACTTTTGATTAGGCCATGAGTCTGCAGTAATTTGCGGATTAATTCTTGAAAAGTAAATCTTGTGATGATTTGTCAACTATTCGAGGGGCTTTGCTGCTCCGCCCAATTTGGGTTAACACAACAAACACTCTCCCCGCGTTTGGCTTTCATTTTCAGAGGGGCATGCAACCATGGAAACCAAAAGTTATTGTGTAACATATTTATTTTCATTTTTTATTGGATTCTTGCATGCAACACTTGCAGCAAATGAACAGTCACAGTTGTCTAGCTGTCCAGTGCGGTCCAGTCCATGGGGCAGTGCATTGTAAATTATGACGGGCTGTCCATAATTAATCAAAGCGCTAGGGCCGCCGTCTGCTGTGGCAATTGCCGGCTGCCATTTAGTCTCAATTAACACACGCAAATTAGCCTGACAGCAGGGAGGAGAGGAGTGCTGACTGCTGGCTGCTGGGTGCGAGTTATGCCCGGCATTTGAAAGTAAAAACAACTCCCAGCACCTACCGGAATTTGTTATACATTTAAGCAGTATCCCAATACCAGCAGATGCATTGTTTAGTTGCTGCTTGGAGCTGGCCTTTGGTGTCGCTCAACCAGTTTAGAAATTCTACTGGTTTTGAGTGACGGCCGTGGCGAAACCTGATGTGCCACATCAGGCGATTTGTATTCCAAATGACGTCTGGTTCCGTTGGCTGCCCAGAGCAGCCGAGCAGCCGAGCAGCAGAGTCCCCAATGTCAGCTGATTGAATTGCAAAAAAACAAGACGGGCAAGGCACCCAGAGATCATCTAAGGAAAACCACACCGAAGAATGGGAAAATTGTGCAAGCTGTTCTGCAAGTTATATGAGACATCCAATCCATCCAATCGGTCGGGGCCTCATCGTTGAAGCTGCTGCTGTGTCTTGGCCTTGTACTTCCTGAACGTTGACCAATCGCTGTCCGCGTTCTGTCCGTCTCATCACCCGCTAATTTATGCCGCATTGCATTATCGATTTGTGTTTTCCAAGCAAAACGAAACTGGTCGGATATGCCCATAAACAACACATACGAACTACCTGCTTTAAGCAACAAAAGCGATTCCAAAATTTATGCATTTAGTCAACGCATTTATCAGGCAAAAGATACAACTCCCCAAATTAGCATTTGGCGTTGTGCGTGCCAATATTTTGTGGTATGACAAACAAAAGCTAATCCGCAACACAAACACAACCTACTAGCTGGCCCAAGCATTCGCCGCATTGATTAGTTGACAAATAAACTAAACGACATTTTTTTGGCTTTCTCTTTGCAGTCGTCGCCGTGGTCGCCTGCTTTTGGAGTCGTACATTTTTGCATGAAAATTGCAACCAAAAAGGTATGTAACCGATTTCTTAATTAACTCAATGAACAACTTTCGCAGCGGACTAAAGGGGCATGCCAATATCTGAACAAATATGCCAATTAAGTTCATAAATATTTGCCATCTGCTGATGTCAGTAGTCGCAGAAAGTCTTTTGACACCCCAAACGGCAATAAAGATTTCCAAAAAATTGTTTTTACATTTTACAAATGGCAGAAGACAGAAGAGCGAACTGAACTGCGCTCGAACAGACTGTGGCTGTGGCTCTGTCTCGGTTCGGTTCGGTTCGAATCGGCGCGGCGCGGCGCTCAGAAATCATTTATGTTAATCAACACATGTTTTTCGAAGTCATTGGCCAGGCCAGAGATCTGGGAATTTTTGTTGTCGTTGACTGTGCCTATCTATACAAACATATACCCTTGCGGAGGGTCGTATGTAGTTTGAAGATAAGTCTGTAACGTAAATCTAATACACATATACATATGTTCATACATACAATGAAACAGCAGCTGCTCCAGCTCCAGCATTATTCTTGTACATATTTCGTTTCGAGCGCACTGCCGTCACAATTGTCTTATCGCTTGATCTTTGCTCCTCTCACGCAATAGTTGCTCTCGCAATTGATTCGTTTTATTACGCTCTCAGTAGCAGCACTAACAACAACAACAACAACAACAGCAGCAGCCATGCAAGCAAGCGCAGCGTTTGGGGGAGGATTGCATTCTGCTGCGCTCTCTCTCTCAGCTATGCTTTCCAACAACAGCAATGAGCTTTGCTCGGCAGCAACGACCCGCCAAACTCAGGTAGCAAAACAATAACCAACGGGACTATTTAGCTAGCATAGAAAATGATGGATATGCAAGGGTATATCGTGTTTCGACTCTGCAACTAGTTTCTCAAACTTCTTTTTTTTCTATATATTAAAATGCCCAAAAATCCAAAACAAAATAAACTTATACAGAAAACGTGTTTGTCGCGTTCCTACCGCGCTCCCCCTCCCACGAGCGCTGTAGAAACAAAATTCAAATTCAAATTCAAATTGTGCCCCGCTGAAATTTGCGCTAATGTTGCCATTTGTGTTGCTGTTGTGTTGTTGCTGCCGCCGCTGGGCCTGTGTGAAGCTTCTCATGTGCTGCTGTACACACACACACACACCACCAACCATAGAGTTATTTTTGGTATGCCCCAACGCTACTCCGCCACATACACATGTGCATATATGGCCGGCCGCCCCATGCCGAACTGGAACCCCAACACGCCGCTGCGGGTTTTCTTTTCTAATTCTTATGCAAATATGCATGGGACGACGGGGCATGTCATGTCGCTTCTGTTGCTCTCCAACTGTTTGCATTTCAATAAGCGCACACGATTTATTTTGTCGATGTTCGAATCGGAATTGCACACGGTTCGATCCGAATCGATGCTCGTGAGGCTTTTATGACTCAAATTGTCAGGCATTTCGGCATCGAATTTGCAGTCATTTCTAAACGAGAAAACAACTTTTTGGCAATCCAAAAAAACGACAACAAAATGCTGAAAACTGATAACTAACACTTTTTAAACAACCACAGCGACAAAGTACAAAAAGCGATAAAGACGAGGCTGACTGGGGTGACGAGAATTTCTTGAGTAGAAGGGGAAATCAGAGCAGAGCAGGGCGCGCGAGAGAGAGAGAGAGAGAGGCACAAAGAGAACACACAAAAGGTGTTCATAAATACATTGCAAAAAAAATGACTCACAAAGCAAGTCATTCTGGTTGCCCCTTGCAGCATTGGAGAATCAAATTGGTTTGTCATGAGACTTCAAAAGAATCGAGAGCCAGAGAGAGTGGGATGAGCCAAGCCACACTCAGACACTAGGTTTAATGGCCTTAATGGTACCTAAATTGCAGCTCAAAGTGGCTCCTTAAAGCCAATCCAAACATGTCTCTGTGGCTGCCCATTCCCATTCCCATACCCATTCCCTTTCTTTGCTTGATTTGCTTTAATCTACTGATTTGTTTGGGGCTTTGCCGCATAAGCAATCTACGTCGCAGCAGGGCTTCCTGGGCCCTGCGTTAATTGTGCGGAGGAGCAGCCAGGCTGCTTATGCAGAACGAATCCAATGGACAGCATTATTTTATGGTCTGCCCTCTCATCCGCGTGCCCAGGCACAACATAAACTCACACTTAAAATCAATAAACGCACCCCGCCCACCCAGTGCCAAATTGCATTCGACATGTGTAGGGCCATAAAACTATAAAATAGCACAAACTTATGGGCAGCCCCGCAATAACCATAAAGAACGGACTAGCCCAGCCCTAGAAATGATCTGCCAAAAAATAAACCACAAACACTTGGAAGTTGGTGGATGGATCATTCAGGGCATTGGCTATGGGTATCTGTTTCTCCCTCTTATAGAGTTGTTTTTACATGCGTAAACAAGTATTTTTATGCGCCGAAGGCATTAAAGGATGCCCTGGCCCGTGGGCTGTGGACCAGGACACTGTGGATACGGCCATAAAGCCACTTAATTGCCATTTTATTACTGCAGTCCAAGTGCCACGTACATTTGTCTGTCTTTCATTAGAAGGAGTTGCCTTCTCTCTTCTGCATTCTCTTTCTGGTTCAGTGTCTGTGTCTGTGTCTGTGTCTGTGTCTGCCACATGCAAAGTGGACGTGGACTCTCCGCGCTGCTTGGTGCTCCCTTCAGCGACTGCAGTTCAATCCGGCAATATCTTTAATGAAATCTGCATGTTCTGCGCTTTAACAAGCATTTTGCTTGTCTACTCATGTCTGCTCTCCAGTCTCCAGTCTCTTTATTCTATTTCTCTCCCTCTCTGTGCTGTGTGCTATCTATCCATCTGCATCTCTTTGGCCGTGTGCCATGGCAATCCTTTTGTTGCCGTCTCTTGGGGGGTTCCACGGCCAACATTGTGGTTTGCTTTGCCCGCTTAAATCTTGTTAGCGTAAATATTAACTTGTAAATATGATGATGCCCCCATGGAAATTGTATGAATTGCTGATAAATATCATTACGTAGCAGTCTCCGCTGTCTCTCTATCTGTATCTGTATCTGTGTGTTGTGTTTGTGTTGCAATTCTATTAAGATTTGTATCTAAAGTGCTTGTACAGCCCAAGTATTTGTTGTGAGTCGCATTCGTACTGGTAATTGTTTAGCAAATCAGTGGAGAACCGGCAGAAGTTGAGAGCTGAAAGGTCTCTCGCTTTGGTCTGGCATTGCCGTGATTGTTGTTATTGTTCCGCTGCCTGATTACACAGTAGTAACTGACAATTTGCCAGCGATTTTTCGTTGCTTTTGCTACTCCTTAATCATCATAATTCCAAGCAGACACAGCACGCGGCTGGGCTCGTAAATAAAACTGCCAGAAGAAACCCAAAACCCAAAACCCAAAACGAAACTTTCATGACTAGAACAGGGTTAAGGCTGTAAGACAGAGAGGCAGAGAGAGAGAACCCAACACAAAGACGTGACAAATACCCTAAACGAGCTACTTTAAAGCGTGGGAGCTGCACATTTATTCTTATTCATTCGCCTGGAGAATGCATTTGCCCAGCTGGCGCCGTGTCTCTGGCTAGCTCTCACTCTCTCAGCCTCATATTTCCACTGAAACGTGCACATCAACTTCCTCCATGGTGGTTACATCTAACCCATAAGCCTTGCTTGCTGGCTGCCTAATCAAAGCCTCCACCCGGGGGGTCTGTCTTTTCCTCCTTCTCACACTCCATTTTCCGGTAGTAATTCCAAGCACTCAACGCAGCCAGCGGGCCAGCAGTGCGACACAGTTGGACATTCTTGTGTCTGGTCTGGTGTCTGCTCCAGTTTTCTCCCCCAAATTGGAATTTCCAGTCTGTGGCTGAACGCACGCTGCGTATGCGTATTATGTTTACAAGAGTTCAATAAACGATTAGAGGCGGTCCGTGTCCGGAGTGCACAGTTCTAAGCGATTGTCGTGGCAGTGGACAGCCACGGTCCCGGTCCCCAGTACCAGTCCCCGCGTTGCCGCATTGCCGCATTGCCGCATTGCGTGTGCGTTCGCGTTTGCGTCTGCCAAAGTTATCGCGGCTTTTTACACTAAGACGAAGGCTAATATGTCATTTGGTCATTGATACCAGCGACGACGTTCGATCGGCTATGGCAAAAGAGCAAAAGAAAGAGAAAGAGAGAGAGGGAGAGCGAGAGCGAGTCTCGGGGCGACCAAAGCAAAACGCTTACTGTCAGTGTGAGGCGCGTATAATTAATTGCTGCTATCAATATCGCTGTTGTTGTTGCCGCTGCGTTGTTGCACGCATGTGTATGTCCCCTCTGGATCTGCCGCTGGCTGCTACATGTTGCCCCCATGGCCACAGCAGCAGCAGCAGCAGCAGCAGCTCATTGAGATAAGCCTGTCCGTTTATGCGATTTTTTGTTTGGATTTAGCATAAATCATTTGCTCCCCACACCTTGCCCCGCCCGAGACAAATGTTATGTCAGCAGCTTTTATAAGGCCGTGCAAAGTTGTGTTCTATGACGCCAAGCAGTGCAAGCAGTGCACACTGCTTAACGGCAGACATCGATTTCTTAGCACTTTTTGAACTGACTGCGGGAAAGGCCCAGCCATATTGAGTGCAATTTATTTATGCAGATCTCGAGTCTAGCTGAAAAACTGAGTCATCCGAGCGGATGTGTGTGCCGCGGCGTGTGTGGGTGAGTGCAGGGAAACACCTTTAGGCGAGACGAACAACAAATGCCAAGAGCTGATGGAATGGACTGGGATGACAACGCATCGTGTGGCTTCGATTCGTGAGTCATGAGTCATGCTCTGGGCAAGCAGCAGCGAAAGTGTCTAGAATGAGCGGCACAATAGACTTTATGGCTGTGGCAATGGCTTCGAGGAATCGGGCAGAAGCTAAACAGACGGCAAAAAGCGACAGACAGCAACCCAAGGGGGCAGGCAGGGCAGAGGCAGGGGCAGGAGGCAAGTGCAATATTTAAACTTAACACAAAGCCCTCAGCTAATTTATGCCCCTCACTT